TTACATAATATGGTGAATTAAATATAACTGCAGTTTTTAACTATTTGTAATAAAAAATGTGCTAATAAAAAGTTTAATGGTATAATTCATACACATATGTGGATGATTAAAATTTCGAAATTATTTTATAATTTCCCGTAGCGCACGAATACTAAGATCACCTTCGATTCATTATACGGGTAGAATTCAAATGTTAGTAGCCACTATACATATTATCATAAATGGCTGATAAAAAGATGCATCTTTAGGTGGGACGCATGATAATCTAACTACTTATCAAATAATAATGAATTAAATCCACAAAACATGGATTTACATTATTAGAGAATGGTGCATTTTCTGGAAATTACAAATGAATAACAAAAATGTAATTTATTTTTCGCGTGCATAAAATACTGCGAGAAACTTTTTGGATATTAAATAAATTATAATTCCATTAGATCAAGATTATTTTTTTAATAACATTGCTTATTACTACTATGTACAATTAGCATTTTTTGACACAGGCAATGTTGTTTATTTAGGCCAATTTTATAAAATCAAACATACATGATTTACGATTTACATTTTAGTCGTAGCTTGTTTGTACTCTACACTTTTATAATTCATTCGACAGGTCAAGGTAGCAGGAAGAATAAAAGATTCATGTATAAAGAATACAACGATCACAATTACTGTTTGATATTGAATAATAAATGTTCGTTATTATCAGGGACATATTTGAAATGTGCTAAATCATTATAGTTCGCATCGTTAATTATTCCTTATTTTCAGGTATCTTTTATTTTATTCTTCCTTGTATTGTACACATTTACGCTACTGTATCTCATGTTTTGTTGTTCAATTATTGAACGTAAATGGAAAGTCATACAATATTTGAGAACTCCGACTACGGCCTTGGTTTTCCTGCCTGCTTTTATACTTCCTGGTTCTTCGTCTTCGTTCGTTATCAATAAAGAGAAAATATCTGACTAGCGAATCATCATTAATATCATATCATATAAATGATATATCATACAGGATTAAAGATTCTCTTCCGTAAATAAAAACATAGTTTATAGATCTTCCATTACAAGTACATAATATTATATTACTTAGCAATTTGATAATATTGCGAATGAAAAATAATGGTTTCTACACTAAAGTTTGAAAGAGTGGACGTAGGGCATTATATTTTTGTAAAGGAAGATGGTTTAACCCTTATAGACAAAACTCCTCTTTATGGACAGAATAATGAATCAACATCTATACAATTTTTAGGAATGAAAGAAGGATATAGAACAAGTGAATCATTTCATTATACACTTTAGAACTTAGTATATAACACGCGGATTTTTTTATAAAAATATTTCTGTTTGTTGCCACATTCTGTTACCTTTGTTCAATACTTTTTTCGATATGTTGACTACTACGTATCTATGCACAACAATTTATTAACTTTGTATCCAAAATCATGACGCAAGCAAGCACAGTCAGTCATACATACATACGTGTACCGTAATGAAATGCATGTCGTAGGTGTATTGTAAGTGTATTGCAATTAATTTTCATTAAATGTATGTAAGCTATATATATTTACATACGTGACTACTTAAACCTAAATTATCTAAATGAAGAATATGATCATCTTGGAATAATGTTTTTACAGTAAAAATCATTTCACTTAGAATCGTTTTACATTTGGAGCTTATCACATTTACATTAATTGAGATCTCAGAGAACGATGAGTAAATCGGAACACACGATAAAACCAATTAAATGTTAAAACAAACATTATTAATAGTCCAGACAACCGGTTAATGGAAGAATATATAAAATTTCATCAGAATAAAATTATTCGCAAATATTACTTAGAAATTTGCGATACAAAAATTGAATCATGTTTTGTCAAAAAACAAATTAAAATGATGAAACACGATATTACATGTATAAATCCTTGCTTATTATAGAACATTTAAACTTATCTCGATTAAGAAAAAGTACCATTTTATCGAAAATAAAAGATAAATTATTTTTGACACGATTTACAAATGGCGCATATCTCTTAACATTTATTGCTGTTTACGAAATAGAAAGCGTGTAAAAAAAGTCTTTTACCATTCTTTTGTCAGTCTATCAGCTCTCCAACAAAAAACATTCACAGACTCTTTCTACATTTGTCGCTATAATATTTTACACTAATATACATAACACATGGAAAATATAATGGAGACAGCATACTTGATTTGATCGTAAATTGCGATCTTCTTAAAACGTCAAAAATATCGCAAAATGTCAGAATTATTTCGATTATGCAAATATAACTGGATAATTATGAAAGACCATGGCTCTTCAATCATGTTAAAAGTGTTAGTTATACTAAGGATCTGTTGAACTTCGCGTCTCGTCCATATATGTCCTAACGTAAAACATGAAATCTGTCAATGCGGTGGACATAGACTTATCTACAATTTTTTGTGGGATCCAGCCCTTTAAATTTGTATTAATAATCCATGTAAATCGGCATTTGTTATCTTCATTAGGTAATTTTTCCGCAGCCCAACAGCTTAGATTGTTCTCAGCCCTTGAATTAAATATATAAGTACATACAAATATAAATATATAACATATATAATTTTCCTTTCGATAACTTGAAAAGTCGTATTTCGATCATACCTGACAACATTGCGGCGATTTGGTAACGATGTAAAAGGCACTGACGTACCAATATTGATATAATAGTTACCGTATTGAATACGATGTCTTAAAATGACAAAATCACGAGCGCCAATAAGGCCTCCTCCTTGAGCACTCGTGGCTTGATAAACAATATCCGTATTCTCGTCGATGTACTAATTAAAAACAATATTTATATTCAAAACATAATTTTAATTAGCATATAAAATTTAAAAGGAAGAAGGAGGGATATTACCTGTAACTTTTTCGATTCTGTGACGAGTCTGTTCCACGTGGGAGATGTCTCAATTTCATCAAATAGTCGATTTACCAGTATACTAGGTTGGGCTTCAATTATTCCCTTACAAAATTGTATTCGATCAATAACATGGAAAAAAATTATGTAAGATATCGGACGTTCAATATTCCAACTTACTACTATTTTTAAAATTTTTCCTTCTTTAGGACGGTCCATGTAAAATATAATATCACCATTCGGCATTATGTTCTCAATTTGCCAATCTTTTGATTGTAACAAATCATTACAATTTTGCACTAACACATTTGCCTTTCTTTTATAATCCTCTATCTGTAAATGTATGAAAATCGCTGTTAAAAGACATGATACACCGTCTGTTTACAATTCTAACTAATTCCGTATTTTCATTTACCATTTCCGACGTAAGTCTCGCTAAGGGCTTAGATGGGAACGCCTCGTTTGCTTTCGTCCATCTAGAACCGCTTGCTCTTCTGAAACCATCTTCCTCGTGGTCAGAATGATCTGGAGAATCCATAGGTGTGAAAAAGGTACCAGTAGGGTCAACACTGCTGTGTTGTCGCGATTCCGAGGTAACGCCTCGAAGAAGCGGTTCTCTTTCATTGTCTACGAAATCTGAAACGAATGCAATATTTATTGTCTGTCCCAAACACAAAATGCTTTAAGGAATGTTAATAAAATATAATACTTCTAATCCAATTTCTAGCTTGCATTTCTTGAGGTATCACGCGAATATCGAAGAACCAAGCTTCCACCCAAGGTAATATGAATGAAGTAAGAATAAGGAGAACTTGAAATACAGGTTGACTGCATATCGACCACTGAAAATGGAAGTTACCAAGGAATGAATTTGTTCTATTATATATACTTGACGCTTAATTTACAACACTTACATCAAAGAGAAACACTTTACCGATTAAAAAGGCACATGTAATGGCAGTTGTCAACTGTAACAAATAGCATACATTATTAAACAAGTACATATCTCTTTACAATAAATAATATAAAAAACGATTAGTTAAGGAAGCAGTGACACTTACGGCAACTATAATCCAATGATTCAGTTTAAGCAGCGCGTAGAATAACAATAATATCGTAAATCTGCAAATCGCTGCCATCTGAGAAGATGAAACTCATCAAATGTCTATTTTCGATGAAAAATTACGACAAGCAGAATATCATATCTGATATTGATTTATTGCTTCCTCGCAAGTAATAGCGTAAAATGTCGTTGCAAGCAAAATATAAGCGCACTCGTACTTACCACAATGTCGAAAAGCGAAGTTTTTATATGATAATGGACCACTTGCGTCATAAAGGCGGATTCCAAACTTTCGCCAGCAATCTAAAAATATGTTTCGGATAACGAAAACAATTTCATTGGACACGAACAAAGGATAATATTACAAAGTAAAACTTACCATTGTACAAATAAGCCACATAAGAAATATTAATAGAAGATCGAATGTGACGAAGAGGCAAAAGAAACGTCTGACATTAGACATTCTCTCGTTGTGCACGGCACCTGCGATAAGATCATTCAGAATCATATCCGGTATTATATTCCTTTGACTATAGGAATTCTGCGAGTTTATAGATCCGGTTAACAAAGACTCAGCAGCCGCTCTAATTTCTCTCTCGTTTTGTGCCATGCTACCAACGTGCCTTTTAACGTCCAATTCGATGGCCTGAAATGAAAAAAATAATTTTTAAAAAATAATTAAAACCGATCGGTGCTAATCCAAAATACATTAGAAGTGTCGTACATTTCTTATATTTTATCTATAGAAAATCATGTTATTATCATCTGTTAAGCTTTTCTTTAATTCTTTCGAATGAACTCTAACATGTGACGCTTAACTTAAGTAGCATTTTAATTCTAATCAATTGCCAAAGGATTTTCCGCAGTAGATATTATAATTAGAATAAATGAAATTAATGTTAACTTTACCTGTAAGTAAGTAAACAAAGTATTCAAGTAAACTGTGGCATTAAGATCACAAATGAATTATACCAAAAGTGCATAGTGGTAAAAATCAATTCCTACCCATATGTGAGGTAAAAAAAAGATTAGAATATAATTTGTACATTGTGTATGATATCAATACGTTTATTTGAAGACGCGAATAACGTAATATACATTATTACAACAATAATGCACTGATTTCAGAAAAAAAGATCGGCACGAGGCTATAGAATTCTAGAGCTCTGCTTCACTTTGTTGTGATCCAAAAATACCGACAATGCGATAGCAAAATTTCCAGTATATCTTCATTATTTGCATCACGTACATCTTTTTTATTTATGCACCTTTACATTATGTTATCGCTCATGTAAAATAAATGTTTTTATTAGCAATTCCTAACAATTCTTATTCAACTTATTTATAGCAACAATTCAACAATAATTAGTAAGTTTATTTATATATTTATTGATTTTTCTACAAGCGCAGTGTATTATCGTTTCTAAAGATGTCATCTAATTCGACTATCAGTAAACAATATTTTTTTTTTACATAAATCAGTATCACGTTTTCAATCGTATGATGTCGAGAATTCATTTAAATTTTTATATTTAGTATATATACTCATATTTATGAATATAATGGAATGTAATTACATGCCATACACAAATCTAACGCGTTTCATTTTATTAACTACATATTTAAATTGCTTTTGACTAAATATTAATTCGATTTTTCCAAAAAATGATATTCATTTCATGTCTATCTTATGTACTTCGCAATATCAGTTTACAAAGAATCAAAATGTACAATGGACATTAAACATGTTAATCTCTGATGGATATCATGAATACTTCGTCGTATGTGTACAGAATTTAAAACGATAACCTACTAACAAATGAATTTTTTATGTTTTAGATACGTATGCACGTAAGTGGGAAATATTTTATTAAAAAAATAACGAATTCGTATTTTCATACACAAAATACTTGACGTAAAAGCAAAATGTATTCCTAATAAAGATTAATACGTATTGTACAAATGTGTATTTGATATGCTTCTTTGTAGTCACTTATGTGTCTCTTATAAAGAATTTTCTCTCTATCAATTGAACATAAATATTTTACGAGAGATTTCTTCTCTTATTTTATCATATCTGCCAAAATATATACAAT